GATTGGGAGGGACAGCACTTATTGCTAAACCTTGTGATGCTCTCCTGACTGCCATTATTAGCTTAGATTAGACAGTATTTTAAAATAAAACCATTAAAAAACTCCAATGTTAGTCTCCACTTTGTTGCAGTCATTAGAAGGGTTGTAACACCACCTTAAAATAAGAATGATAACAAGAAAAAAAAAGCATTAATAAAGTTGTGAAGTGGGGTTTAAGCCTTTATTGATGATTATAAAGTAACCCGAAACCTATATCTGGTTGGAAAGGGGAGTCCCTGAGAAGAGTAGAAATGGTGCTAAATAGCCCGCTGGGTCCATAATAGATTCATCTCTCAGAGAAGTGGAAGGCTGGGTGGGTGTATTGAGTTGTAGGGGACCTACAAGAGCCGGAGAGGAGCGCCTTGATCTCCTCGTTCTCCGGCATGTCCTGGATGGCAGCATTGATCTTCTCCCTGATCACCTTCACTGCACTTTGCCATTTCAGGTTACAGTGCCTCCGATCCACCAGCCAGTCTGCAACCACACAGAGCGAGTTTACGTCTGTAACATCTGTTTCAGCCAGCATGCTAAAGGACTACAGGGCTGTATTAGCTGCTTGTAGCCCAGCTGCAGAGGAACACATAGAGAAGCAAGTGCTTGTTTTAAATGTGCGTGTTTTTGTCTTACCTAAAAGTTTGCTGGTCTGTATGTCGATGGGAAGGTTCTGAATGTTCCGCTGCAGGGAGACAGCCAATAGATTTTGTTATTTACACCTTTTACTTCCTCTTTCCCCTCTCTTATTTAACTTACGGAAAGGACAATATCACATTAAACCGTTAGGAAGACATTGTGAATAACTATCTTAAAAAATGTCATAGGACAGACTGTTTTCTTTGCTAACTTAAACTCAGTGTAAAGTGTTCATTTCTCTGTCACTTAAGTGGACTTTTGACTGTGTCAGCTAGCTAGCGTTAGCTCGCAGGCTAGTTTTTAAAGCCAGCTCGGAAAAAAAACGAAATTTAATCTCACCTCCATTATTTCCTTTTCTTTTTAAAAACGTTTCCGACCATTCAGGGCTTCATTATACGATTATATTCCAGTTTATATCCAGGATTATCATCACCATCCGGAGCTTTCCTGTTTATGACACGTTAGGAGAAGCAGAGCCAATAGGAGGAGGCGATGTTGCCGTGTCGATGGCTGCATTTGGATTGGTGAATCGTCGTTGCTCCTGATTGATGCAACTAATGAGACTGCCGCTAGAGGGCGGTAGTATCACTTTACTTAAGGTCAGTTATTCCCAAACTAAGAGTAGCCCATGGAAAATGTAGAAGAATACCTGGAAAATGTTGTCTATTTCTTGTTATGGGTCAGTCATTTGTTAAAAAAAAAGGTCTCATGATATTTCTTGCACAGTTAAATAAACATAAATGTAGTTTCCCCTCAGAAAAGGAAATCTACATCTATCTATCTAGACAGTTATTACCTGTAAGCCTGTTAAAATAAAAACATTTGACACAGTTGTAACAAATGTGCTCCAATTTCTTTAAAAATGTATTTAAATTATTCTGGTTTTGTGTCTACATCTCATTTATATCTCTCTTTATTTGTTTATTTCATGCTTTCCTATATACTTATTACTCTATTATCCAAGCACACTATTGTAAGTATGCTATTTCTTTGCACTTAATGCTTTGCATGTTTAAATTCATGCACAAAATTGAGGGGAAAATAATCAGAACATTAATCCAAAGTTTTATATCCACAAATAGGAAATTTTGAATTCTAAACTTAAATTTATTGTTTCAAAAAACTTAAAAAATGAAATTTGTTGAAATGAGATGATGAAATGATGAGAAATGGGCTAGTGGAACAAGAAGCTCAGACGTAGACAAGGGATGAGAACAGTAGTAGTAGATCTAAGACCACAGCAACCTTCCTGAACAGGGTTTAGTAACCATTACAGTGGCAGACATCCCAGAAAGGGTCTCCAGTATGAAGAGTCGGACAGGCCCCCGACATGATTCACTCCTGCTAGCTGAAGAAGCTAACTGCACAAAGGAACCAACTGCTAATAAAAGAGGCACAAGATCCCAGAGGATCCCCAGAAGGGACCAGTCCCATCCAACTACCGGCCAATAACCTGCCTCAGTACCACATGGAAGCTCCTGGCAGGCATCATATCGGCTAAGAGGAACAGGCATGTGGCTCATTACATGAGTGGGGCACAGAAAGGAACTGGCAGAAACACCAGACACCAATTAACGTCACATTTTATGTCCATCTGTTATATTTTATACATTTGATGAGATATCATTATTAATACTTATTTATTTATGTTTGATTTTGGCCGTTCAGTGATTAATAACTAAACATTAAACTTTGTTAACTAAACTATTAACAAAACATTTATTTACTAAACACGTTTTTTAAACAGTTAAATGTGTCGTTACAGTTTTATTTTGTTCATTATGTCACATAATCTTAAATATGAGAAAACAGAGACTGACACAGTGTATTCTTGTTATTGAAAAAAGTGATATGGGTGAAAAACAACAGTAATAATTCAACAATTTGGCTTCTTGTGAACTCCAGGACAAACATGAAAACACAAGCATTAAATCCCTGCAGCAACAGAGTTTCTGTAGTGGCCTAATTTCAGTTCATTTGAATGGTGACCAAACTTGCAAATTCAGCGTCTATTCACTGTCTGTGATTTTAAACGAGCCATGCAAAGCAGCTCGATTGCTCTCGTTCTCTCCCTCCAGCTTAAAGCCATCACAAAGACTTATGTAAGAGAAAATGCTCAGTGAAAGGTGACTTTATTCTGACTCCAAAGTCCACATTAAAACAATACTTGGATTTAAAGGGAGACTGATAACGGGGGTTTTGTTTACAGTTTGGAAAGCCACTCACCTCTCAGGTTCACATTAGCCCTGATGTCAGAGATCTTGATATGGGACTGAGCTGAAAATCACATGGCTGCAACATTTACTCAGTCATGCACTCAGCTGGGCGGGCTCTAGGTGTGTGTGTATGTGTGTGTTTGAGGAGGGTGTGCGCTAAAGAGGAGTGCAGAGGGACAAGGTAAGAGGGAGAGGCAGAGGGAGAGAGATGCTGTACCTGTGCACGCTCACCTGAGGAGAGGAAAAAGATTCCACAGAAACACAAAGAGAGGAGATAGAAAGTTTGTAAGCATGGTGAGACAGTGTCGCATGTGAGAGAGTCCCCTTTCAGCCAGCACACTGTGAACAAGGTAAGAGAACGAGCGCACCGGAAAGCCTCCGATGAACTGCAGCGGAAACTAGACTTTCATCTGTGCAAGAAATACACATTTAACTCTAATTACAAAAATCAACATGCTACTTCCATCTTTTTCCTTGGATTTCCACAGCTCAGCAACCCTGATCAACATATTAGAACTGCAATACTGTATTTGTATAGCCAAACAACAGCTAAAGTCAAATTTCCAAGTGAAAATGTCAAAAGTTTTTTGTTTCTAGCTCCTTAAGTTGGAGAATCGACTTTATTTTTTCACAGTATGTGGATGCAAACTGGATATATTTGAGTTTTTCAGGGACAAAAACAATAAATATGGAGACATTAGCTTGGGTAACTTGAGGTGAGTGCTGTGTTTTAACAGTCAAATTATGGCTGAAGTAAAATTCTTTGGAAAACAGGCCTGACTTTCGATGATTTCAGCCTCTCAAAAGAGAAAACTTGGGGTTTTTACTTGTCTTATATTAAACAAATGCAGAGTTTGAGAGCTTTTGATTTACAGAAGAAAACATTGGAAGAAATCAGCTTGAGCTGGACAGCTTTGCCGCTGTTTTTAAAGGCAGTTAATTGAATAATTAAAAAGGGTAGAAGCCTGAAGGAGACACTAATGCATTCTCTTACATCAGAAAGTATTAGGAGGCCCACAGGGTTACTATGCATGCTAAATAACATAGTGCAAATATGTTTTAACATGATTTTATTTGTCATGTTTGAGCTGGTTAGAATAACACTAAGTCATAAAAGAGCTACAGTCACAAATGAACCTTTTTGGACTTTGCACCTGTGTGAAGTTTACAATTCAATCAGCCTGTGGATTTTTGTGACCTTTGAGAAGGCAGGAAGGCCCCTGGAACAAATGACTAAAATACATTTTTATTAATGGAAATAATCAGACGAGCTAAAAAAACTTTGCTGCTAGGGGTCAACAGCAAGTCTGGTACAAGGGATGAAACCTGAGAATCTACTGAACCTTCAGTTTAAGTTACGTGGGCAGCAAAGCCCTCGGTGCCCTTGGAGGCTCCTCTCTGTCTTTCTGCGGCTCAAAAGTTATTCTTTTCAAAGACTTTGCAGGTCGTTAGTGATTTCTGATTGTGCGCCACAGTTCCTGCTGTGATCTCTGAGGCTTTGCTTGGGCGGCTCACCCACACATAACAGAATACATGGTAACTTATTAAAATGGAGGGCCTCCTTTGTGTCAACAGGAGTTTTTGTCTCAAAGGTCACATCTAAGTCAAACACGGCATTCTTTTGGAAATATGTGTGCATATCGACAAGCTGTCTTACTTAACATGGTGTGAAAGTGCCGAGAAGGTATTTTGTCTTGTAGAAGCTGTTTTGATGGAGAGTCAAGAAAATTATGCAAATGCTCTGCAAATGTTTGCTATGAAGAAACCTGTCCTTTGTGTGTAGGAATAAACAAACAGATGATGAAACAGAGAGAAAAAAATGCTAAAATCTGAGGAATGTGACATAAAAGAAGCTACGGAAACCCAAGTAAACACTTTGAAGTGGTTCAGTCCCTTGTAAAAGCGCTTCTTGGTGAGCAACTATCTGTTACCCGAGCGTCTGTGAAAACCACACACCGAGGTTATTAAGCAAAGAGCAACACCGGGTCCAGAGGAATAAGTGTAAAAGGCGCCTGCATTGCTGTTTCCAAAACTTTAAATCAAAGAACCTTTGCACTCTTCGTTCGTGCCATTTGTCAAACATCACATGGGTCAGATAAGAGTAGGATGAGTGTTTCTGCAAAGGGCATGGACTCTTTATTTGCATAGGTGCTACATGATAAAATAACCACACCAAAGGGCCTGACTTCCTGTCAGCCATCATAAAAGAGAGCGATATGGTTGTGTTTGTGAAAGTCATAAAATCTGGTTTATGAGCCACGCTTTTATCTAAACACTTTTTTTAATGTTTCATCCCAACCTTCAAGTTTAAGTTTTAAATGTTGCAGAGAGAGGTGCGGTTAATAAACTGCTCACTATGAGTTTATCGCACATTCACATGTTTTCATTGAATCTATCTGGTCCCTGCTTTAGTAAAGTAGCTCAACAAAATTCCTCTAAATTCTGGTAAAACTAAAATAAAAAGACCTGAGAGCTGGACTTACCATAATAGTCTCGCTGATTGTGCTTACAACTACAGTAAAAATGCTACTATTTATTTATTTTGTGGTTTTGAGGACATGATGCACTGCTGTAAATGTGAAACTTGCAAAATTCAGTTTAAAATATGTAAAGTAATTTCTGACTTTTTGTATTTTGGCAGTTTTACTTGGAAATAAACCATCAGGACAGTTGCAGGTTAGCTTTCTGTCAAGCTAAGGATCAATTTGAAAACTGCAAACACGCCTGCAGTTAAATGCAGTAAAAACAGCTTAAAAGAATTTGAAGTTAGAGCTTGAATTACAGCCTTAGTTTGCAGAAACATCAGAAAAAATCATGCTAAAAATTAAAAACTGCTTTGAATATCAATCCCTATAAAATTTGAAAATGAAATTTCGAGCAGAAATGCCACACCCATTTTAGTCACAGGTGTACTGGGAAGCTTCATAGAGGCTCACGCGTTGCAGGTTGCAAGAAATGGAAACAGGCTGTGTTAGTAACTGAGAGGTTAACTAGTAAAGGTTTTTTTTGTCACTGTATTCAGCATTAAGGGGACAATACATGCAGAATATGACGAATCAGAGAAAGTTACGGTTTGCCTTAGTTATTCTGCTTTAATTATTCATGACACAAAATCAACAAGTTGTTGGAAATATTCCTCAGAGATTTTGCTTCATGTTGACATGACAGCATCACACAGTTGCTGCACATCCATGATGTGAATCTCCTGCACCATTGCATCTCAAAGATGCTCTAGTAGATTGAGAACTGGTGACGTTTGACATCATTTGAGCTTTGTGACATGGTGCGTTATCATCTTCCAACAACCAGCAGCAATATTCAAGGAGGCTTTGGCTTTTAAACAATGCTCAGTTGTTACCAAGAGGCCCAAAATATGCCAAGAAAATATCACCCACAGCATAACACCTCCAGCAGCCTGAGCCACCGATAGACTAATTTTGCTGCAGAAATTAAGACTCGTCAGACCAGGCAAAGATTTTCCAGTCTTCTGTTTTGCAGTTTTGGTGATCCCTTGTTGTAACTGTAGCCTCAGTTTCCTGTTCTTAGCTGACAGCAGCGTTACCCCGTGTGGTCTTCTGCTGCTGTATCCTATCTGCTTCAAGGTTTAACATGTTACATAATCAGAGATGCTCTTCTGCATGCTTTGGCTGTAGGAAGTGGCCATTTGAGTTTCTGTTTTCTTCCTATCAGCTCAAAGCAGTCTGGTCATCCTTTGCCCTCTGACATCATAGGGATTTTAATTATGTGGGAAAATCCCAGCTGATCAGCAGTTTCTGAGAAACTCAGATCAGCCCATCTGGCACCAGCAACCATTCCACGTTCAGTGTCACTTGAATCACCTTTCCTTCCCATTCTGATTATGAACATTGTGACCAAGTCTAAATGCTGCCATATGATTGGCTGATTAGATACAGAGGTTTAGGAGAAGCTGAGCAGGTGCACCTAATAAAGTGACTGTAAGTGTATATTCTTTACAGACATAAGAATATATTAAAAGAAGGTGGAAGAAATAGAAAAATAAAGACACAAAACATATTTTCTGTGTGTATTCAAGATTATTTATGTAAGGCATGATCCGACCCATGAACTTGTTTATGACCTCTTTGATACGATAAAAGAGTCGGCATGAAAGAGTCAGCGATTGCTCCATAAGGAAGTTATTCGACCTGTTTGGTTACCTGGTGACCGAGGACCACAGAGACCTGGGTGTATTATTCTGTTATCGTTACCTGTGTATGTATCCATACACCTGAAATAATACAGATGATATCACTTGATGAGAAAACCCAGAGGCTTTTGGTTATGTTGTGATTCTTACGTGAACAACAGAAAGACACCTTTGTCATTATGTAACACGTTTCCAAACTCCTAGTTCAGCATCGGGACGACAGCTTGCTTCCCCAGTATTTGCTTTCCTGACTTTATATCAGATCACATGCGAGCGATAGAGGATCCTGTGCAGATCATCATTAATTTATCAGCTGAGAGCAGAGTGTCAGGTGTTGCTCCCCCATTAGGTTACACCTCGTAATCACGGAGATGTGCACTGGATGATGTAAGCCAGCCGTAGTACCGTCTGCTTTCTACAAACCAGTCCTGCACAGAGCAGCAGAGTAAACAGTGTTGTTTGTCTTTTTGAACTGGTTCACCAACAATGAGAGAATGACATAACATTAAAGGCATGATGTTCAGTGCAGACTGAGATTCATCTGAATGCAAATCTGCAGTGAAGTGAAAAATTTGCATCTACTTTTTGACATTAAATGTAAGTAATTGGAGCTATAGTTATTGTAAGTTAGCAGAACTTAAAATATTAATGCATTTTCCCTTTAAAAAAAATGAATAAATTTCAGAATTTAAATCTTTTGATTACATGCTATATGTATAATTTAACTTCAGATCAATTAAAGTTCTTATCAAAGAACTTCAGTCACAGTTTTACAGCTTTGCTGTTCTCGCATGAATGTAAATAAAGGACATCCTGAGCAAATGAACTAAAACACAGAGGAACAAATATAAAACGATGAAGTGTGGCAGAGCTTGTATAAATTTAACTAACATCCATGAATGACTGTTGCAAACCTCTGGGCTTTCCTACACTGGGCACTGTAATATCATTGCTTTAATCTTTATTAAACCCGGAAGGGAAGCTGCTGAGATTAAAGGAGAATGCCCTGGGGCAATAGAGGTGCAACATGTTTTTCAATAGCAGGAGAAACCAGAGCTACCTGGGGAAACCAGCACAGCAGCACAGACAATACGTAAAATTCACACAGAAGCAGCTGCTTGGGGGCCCCCACATCAGCAGAGGGCCCCCAGTTAATTTAATAAATATGTTAACTGACCGGTTTAATCATTCACTGTGAGCGCTGAGCTTTTTCAAGTTAGTTATTATTAACATTCACTAACAATAACAACAATAACAGAAATGTCAAGGGGTGGTGAGCTCAGGGGATATTGTATGGAAACAGCAATTACAGCGTTAACCTATTTGTACTCTCTGGACAGTTAGTTTCCATTTAATTTATTTAACACTGTTTTTAAAGTTGCGCTGTTACGTAAAATAATATTTCGGTCTGTGGTAAATTCTTTGTGACTGTGCTGCCCTTTTGCACAGTTTAAAAAAATTAAATCAGTGAACAGTTTTAAAAATCATCATCTGCTTGTTTATTGTATTTCTTTCCAGCACAGAATAATTAAGCCATTATAATTGTTGTGTTAGATGCGTAATGCAGAAATGGTCAGGCAAGGGCAATATAGCTAATAGTGGCTTTGCTGACGTGGGTGGCTGGGGGCCTTTAATCAAATTCTGCTTAAGGCCTTGTAAAACTTTAGGCCACCTCTGTGTACGAGGCTTTGCAATTTACCACATAAAATCACCTTTAAATAATTTGAATTAATTCAAAATAAAAATAAATAAATAAGTGGAACTGGAGTTTATTTTATACAAACTACTGAATTACTTCTTAAAGTACATTTAGAGTTATGATAATCTAATCCAATGTTTTGTATTTTTATATTAAAACTTGAATTTTATCGACGTTAGCAAAAACAATTTGACAGAAAAAAGATGGCTGATAATGGCGTCTCTCAGGGATCAACACCGGGCCCATTGTTAATTACTTTCAACGTGCATTTATTCAGTGTAATTTCCCCCTCAGAAGTGTAATGTACATTTTTATGCTGATGATGCTGTCTTGAGTGCCACTACCAAACTTTCTCCAGCTTAGCCTTTCATGATTTCAGACCTTTAAATTAAAACTGGTTGTAAGTGATACTTGGCTATTCAGTTGATTCGTAACACTACAAAGCTCTTATTTATATTGTTGACCAGGTATGAATAAATGTAAATGTCTGACTGGTTTCAAATCTTACTCTAGTCAAATGATAGTGATAAAGAAATCAGTTTTGATCTAGCTGTACATACTGTAGTTTTTTTGTGGCCTAGACCCTTTCCTGACTACATTTAGATATGCATTTATAGATGGAAATAAAAAACCAGACTGGGAATTAATCTTTACAAGCTCACATTTCTAAAAAACATAAGGTGTGTGATCTTGTGTATGAAACTGAAAATACAAAAGAAAACACAGATGAGACTTTTTGTATAGATAAAGACTGACTAACATGTCTGCATTAAACTTGACAGAATAAATGCTGTTTTGAAGTGTACAAAGTAATGCTAAAACACTTTATTTACCTATTCTTTGCTGTTGCTCACCACACGCTAAGATCTCTGAACTTTACAGGTCGATCCTCCAGTCTCTGTTGGTGCCATGGCTGACTCAAGCTGGTGGAGGCTGACCTTCTCACGCAAGAAGAAGTCTGAATCCAAGGTTCTGTATGAAATCCCAGCAGAGCATGGCAGTAACACTGGGAACAAAGACCACCCGAGTAGTAACGGCTCTCCAGAACTGGACAGCCAGTTGAATGCCAAACTGGAGAAAATCGTCGATAAATCTGCCACCAAAGGACGCCACGTCAAGGTCTCCAACTCCGGCCGCTACAAGGAGAAGAAGAGGGTCCGCGCCACGCTGGCTGAGAACCCAAATCTGTTTGCAGACAACAACCTCAGTCAAGAGAATCATAAAAAGAAGACAGAGAAATAGCACAGAAAATGCACATACTTGATCAGTAATGTGTCATATACACATAAGAAGCTTCAAAGATGGCTTGAATGTATGCAAACACCACCATGTTGTCCTACGTGTACTACTACTGTGCTACTATTCACCACACACAGGTAAACACAAGAAAAAAAGACACTTAAATAAACAACGAGGTGTCAAAATTTAAACATCCACCCGGCAGACGGGAAGTAAACACAGTCCTGGACACATTTTTCTCCAGATTTTCTGTCTTTTAACTTTTATATTTACTTCCTTGTGCTCACGCTGTTGTTTTATATTTTCAAAAATGACATGAAGGAAAATTTGGGGAATTCTCGCCTCATGATTCAAATGTAACATTGCTGTCATTTAAGTTGTCATTTTTTAATGTTGTAGATGTAGTGCTATGTTTCAGGTTTTTATGTTTTGTCAAATGTCAAAGGAAATTTTTATTACATTTTTATGACCAAAGACTTGACGTCACTGATTACATCTGAAACATTATGGTGGATGCTTTAAAATATAAAGGCCCCCAAAAGTATCAAGTCATCATCAAAAAGACTTGAATTTCTCAGCTCTAAGAAACAAAATGTTAAAGTAAATTATATGTATTTATTTATATATCTATATACACTTGTCAAGTAAAATAGCCCCAAACAGGGAAGGACAAACATCTTTCGTCCATCCTTGTTTCCACATGTTCTTAAATGAAAATTATAGATTGTATATAAAAGATTAATGTAACCATTAACGATCACCATGTTGATCTTGTCATCCAAACATGCAACAATGTCAACTTTTTCTCGAGGCAACAGTCAGTTTGACAACATATTTTGCAGCCACAAATATTAAACGTTTACTCGTGAGGAATACATGTGCAAATTACAGCTCTCATTGTCATGAATTCTAAGTTGACACCCTGAAAAATGCTCTCATGTTTCACATATGAAAACATCTAAATTCACGTTGGTTTCCTTGGAGGTAGAAGTTGGATAAGAGGGTGGAGTTCTAAATTATCAGCTAGCCCTAGAAAGCCTGATTAGATAGGTGCAGTCATAAACCGCAGAGTTTCGATAATTTTCAGTATCGGTCAGTACAGCTGATCACACAGGAAAAAAAGTGTCAGAAATTCCTTTAAAATGCTGTAAAAGACACCAACATGGTTTAGATGTTTTGAAATGTACATGGCAAGCTATAGTTGCCTATATCGATGTCTGTCACTCCAGCCACAACCGTAATAATGCAAGCTTTAAGCCTTAATATGCTTTAAAAAAGTCAGTTCTTTAAAAGAAAATCATCCCCTCATAGTTGTTGTTAAGGGGGAAATTAGCTACAGGGACAAAATTCAAGCTGTAAATTCAGACTAACTCATTTCTGGAGCCAGGCTTTTAGAGGAACTGTAGGTTTTGGCTTTGTTTTTCGAGCCTGGAGGTTGCCCCGGGTGACCGCAGTACAGTTTATGGATACAATCATATCAGAAAACATGACTTGGGTATGCTAATTGTGCTTTTGTACGAATCAAATATCTGTTTATGTCATTGTGAATTAACTTCATGCTGTTTTGTTGGTTTAACTGTCCAAATAACTCCTGCAGCCATTGCATGTGACACATCAACAACAAGAAATGCTGTCTGTAATTTTTTTTTCTGAGATGCTTTTTTGTTTGTAATAAATATAAAAGTTGTTAACGTGTAAGATTTTCTTCTGTTTGTGCTGGAGTCTACAGCGAGGAGAGCTGTTAACATGCAGATGGTGGCCTGTTTAAACGCGATGATCTTGGTGAGGTCGTTCTTTGGGGTTAGTGAGCTGTTCAGCCTGTTTTGTTGACATGGTGATAGTAAGCACGGTGATATTTGACACCCTGTGGTCTGCTTCTGCATTTTGTAGTGGAGCTGCCCTGCTGTTAGCTGAGAAAATGACAGATATCGTCGAGTGATTCACAGAAATCCACAAGTCAACAGTTAATCCATGAGAATATTGCATGTTTCTAGTGATTCTGAGTGATCGTGTTTCGCTGAATCTTGGCGTTTGTGTTAGCTGTGCTACTGACATCTGCTGGTCAAACACACACTCAGTCCTCAGTTACAAATTAAAACTTTATTAATAGCTACCACAATTTCATCCTCAAACAATACAGGACACACAACAATTGGCACAAATGACATCACGCGCTCTTTTAATCTCACTATTAAAAGGCAGTCACTGCAGAGACACTGCCATAGATTTAAGACTGATACAATCAATTTAAATTAAGTTAACCACCAGTACAGGTCACATATTTTCCATTGGTAAGTGTAAAATCGTATTTGTCACCAATTAGAAGAAAAATATACTTTAGTTGTCCACAGTGTTGGGGAGTAACGGAATACATGTACCGCCGTTACGTATTTAAAATACAAAATATGAGTAACTGTATTCCGTTACAGTTACCGTTTAAAAAGGTGGTATTTAGAATACAGTTACTTTGTTGAAATAAATGGATTACACGGCAGTATCCTGTTTCATATTGTGGCGGGTCAGGCCTGTTTGGGTTTTGTTTGACAGCTACGTTCTGTTGTTCCAGGCGGCAGCGTTGCGGTTGCCATGGTTACAGGGTGACGCTCTGCGTGTTTCCTGGGTGAGAGAGGCCTTTTTGTTGTTGTGCGTAAGGACGTTAACGGAATATGTTACAGAATACATTTTAGGGCATGTATTCTGTATTCTGTAATGGAATACATTTTAAAAGTAACCTTCCCAACACTGGTTGTCCAGTTAACAGACTTGCGATTTTTTCATGAGTTGCTAACACGACTAAGACAGTAAACTCTGTCTAGAGACAACAATGAATTTGAAACAAATATTAGTTTTCTCATGAGGAACAAGCTCTCTCTGTCATAAATTCTAAGATGACACATTGAGCATGCTTTCATATTCCCCATATAAAAGCCTCTAAATTCATTTTTATATTTATTGTTCAGGTTATGGCCAAAGATGGTGTTCTGAATGCATATTTAGCAAAACAGTCACACTTTTCTTCCATTAACGATGCATTTCATGACCACCAACAACTATGAAGTTAGTGCTGATAGATTTGTGGTAATGTCCATGTAAAAACCCCAAACCTTTGGACAGCCTAAAAGCAACAGTCGCACTGGATTGGATATGACCGTTTAGCTGTACTTAATGAAGTGGCCACCATGCATAATTTTGGGGGATTTGAATCTTTTCTCTCAAAGAAATCAAGAAACTTAACACAGCGAGCTAAACTCAAACAATTGTCTCAATTTTCTATATTTTCTTTAGAAAACTACAGACCTGTAAAGAAATAATCACACCAATGGAGGAAAAACTGCAGTTAAGTGTTGATGAGTGGAACAGATTGTGCTTTTTAAGAAATAAGAAACAGTTTTCATGTCCTACATTGTAGGACATGAAAACTGTTTCATGGTCGTTGACCTTCTAGGACCTAGAAGGTCAACGACTGCACTGTTAAACAACCACAGCCATACTGTTAATCACTATTTTGAGTGGGTAAAGTTTGCTCCACTTTTTCAGGCCAGTGCCCTTTTCCATTACAAAACACGGAAAACTCAAAAGTTGCACAGTCAGATTGCGCCACGCTGCTCCACTTATCCACTTAGCACACATGGTTCACCTCAAAGACAGCACAGTGACATTTGGCTTGTTGATAAACCGTGCACAACAGCACCTACGCAAGGTTATTAATGTGAGGTAAAGATGGTGATCTTTTTAAATCAGTGATAGTCGAGATGAAACGTGTCCTCTCCTTTATTTCACAGTCTGCTGATGCTCCTCATGGGGACAGTCGCTGGTACACCCAGCCTCCCTCTGCAGCGTGCTGAAACTCTCCCAGCTCGGACTCTCCGTCCTTCAGCTTGGTGAAGACGATGCGGTCGTGAAGTCTGTTCGTCTGTCCCTGCCAGAACTCGATTGAAAAAGGCTTTACGATGTAGCCGCCCCTGTTGGAAAAGCACATCGTGGGACAGTTAAAGGCAACGAACCAAAAAAGCTTTAAGAAGCCGTACCAACATGTTATTAACTTGAATTAAGAGCAAAGGTTTACCAGTAATCAGGCATAGGCACCTCTGTGTCCTTGTACTTCTCCTCCAGTTCTGCATTTTTCTGCCTCAGATACTGAAAGAAATTGTGAAAACTGAGACTTAGACATTGTACGCATCACCTACAACGTGCAGGTGGAGCAGCTTCGGCGCTTACATCTCTGTTAGGCACAGTAGTGCTTTGTCGGCTCACGACAGCGCCGACCTGGCTGCTCTTTGGCCGGGAGTGGAAATAATCGCAGGAGCTCTGGTAGGGGATCCGCTCCACGGTGCCTTCAATGCGAATCTGAAAATCAAAATTAAATTAAACAATACATTTACTATGAAAATAAAAAGTTTAAAGAAGAACGCGTAATAGTAAAATTAAGGTTTCTGCACCTGTCTGTTCAGCGGTTCCCAGTAGAAGACCAGGCATGCATGCGGATTGCTCTCCTGTGGAGAAGAAAGTGATCAGAGGACCCGACAACACAGAAGAAGCCTTAAAGATTCATGGATGAAGTGAAGGAGGACATGCAAAGGGGTTGTTGTGACAGTGGAGGATGCTGGACGCAGGGTGAGATGGAGGCAGACTTTATCAACAAGGGGCGACAAGTGTCAGTATTAGATTTAAGACAAAAAGGAGACAATACATCAAAATTCATGCAAAACATTTGAAACCTGATGAATAAAAAATTCACGCGATATAATTTTTATTTAGAATAATAAAAACAAAGTCTTCAGAAAGCAATCAGTACTTAGTCTGGTTTAAATGCCAAAGAATAAAAATGCATTTTCAAATGTTTTTTTTAAAGATGTCTAAAATCAGTGGATCACCTGCTTCCATCTCACCCTATAACTGGCCTCTAACATGAACCTTCTGTGTGGTCTTCTTCTCTTCTTCCTGCCTGGCAGCTCCATAGTCATTATATTTTGTCCATTATATCCACTATCCCTCATCTGTGCGCGCTAAAACCATCTCAGCCTTGGCTCCTGAAGGCATCAAAAACCCTTTGAAACTCTAAAGCAAGAATTGATAACGTGTTCTGCATAAATTATGGGCAAAAATCCAAAGATAAAGAGTTTATTGTCTCCAAAGTCATAGAAATGTATTTGCAAAGCTCAAACCAGTGAATTGGTGCCATTTTTGTTTGTATGACTGATACAGATGTTGATTTGTAATTTTTTGTGCCTGCTAACTACTCGCTTAAGAAATACATTATTGATAAAAGCAAAAGAGCTGGACTCAATAATATAATGTTTAGCATTTAAACACAGTAACTAATGACACAAGCACAACACACTGCACAGGTCAATTGCAATATCTGTGAGACAATAACACAGGAAACAGGAATAATTACACATTTATTCAAAACCACCTGAGGGCAAAAGAAGCAGAGCATGGATGTAGACGGCTGCTGACAGAGTCAGCGATAAAGATGCTTCTTACCAGCTCGCAGCCCTTTCTGCTCTCATAGTTGGTGAAGAAACGGAAACCTTCACTGCTGTAACCTTTCAGGAGGACCATGCGAGCGGACGGACGTCCATCACTGAGTCCACAACAGATACGATTAATTGTACAAAACTGTGAAAAGAAATCAGCTCCAATCTGTTCAGGTGGCAGCGTTTCTTACTTGGTGGCAGTGGCGAGGCACATGGCATTGGGCTCTCCTATTTCAGGACACTTGGTGGCTTCATCAAACCAGTTTCCAAACTGCTTGATGGGGTCGAGAGACACGAGCTGACTCTCCTCAAAGCACTGGAAACAAAACAACCGATACAGATGTAAAAAAACCATAGGAAAACAGACACTTTTACATAATGCAGGATTCAAATGATTCACTGATGCTTTTGGATTATAGTGAGTACAGGCTGTAGGCAGTATAATTACAATTTAATTAATTATTCAGTTGTGTTTATCACTTTTAAACATGCCAGAGAAATATGTCCTATTTAGAGGTCAAAGTTGAGGTGTGAAACATCTGGGGAACACCTGCTTTCTCCAGCTGTATACAGCATGACCAGATGCAAACTTCCTAAAAGTGAATTTGTGTGGGACAATAATTACACAGCCTTTTATCTGAATGCAACTTTCCAAACAATAAGAATGAAAGGAAGATTTTTGCTTGATAGTATTCTTAAACCCATATTATTTCACAGGCTTGACCCACTCAGTAGTTTTTCCTTCTCTTTTTGGTTGTTTCTATACATCATATCCTGCAGAAATCTGCAGAGCTCATGACTTTGTAGTGACTTCCCTTGCACTTTTCCCTGTTAAGCATGGGATAAGCAAAAAAAAAAACTTAACTGGCACTTTATCCGGGAAGATAAAAGCCAAATTTTATGGGTAATGGTTTTAAATACTAGAGCCAACCAATATGTGGGATATCATCTGAATATGTGGGATGAGGGACAAAGGATAAAAGTGTGTGGCACCATCTACAGCTACAGCTAGGATGTCCCATTTTAATGGTGGTGACAGCACACCATTCATCAATTTTTTGTTGTTGTTGTGGTCATTTTTCAGTACTGCACAGGGGTGTGTGTTTCATTAAATGATATCAGTTCATATGAATCTCACACGAAACGTGCTTAAAAACAAAAACAAGGATAGCAGTGTCCCTCACAGCAATAACTTCCCTGTTTTGAACCTCCTGGGGCCTTTCTGTGTTAAGTCTCAATGACCTCAATGTGCCTGCGT